TAACTTGGAACAAATCCGAGAGATTTTATCCTGCAGGTGCTCTGAGAACTCCTCCATGTGGCCCTGCAAATGAATCTCCAGATCCCCCTTACCAAGGAGGGATCTAGTGATCCCAAACAGGGCCGCTGGGCGGCACTCTGCAGATGCGATAAGGGCGGAGAAGTATTGGCGCTTCGCCACTCTTATCGCCACAATGTAGGCCTTAATGGTAGTTCTAACCTGTGTTCGGTCAGATTCGGTCCGTGTCTTCCTCCAGCAGCACTCTAGATGTCTCTTGGCCCTCTTCAGCACCCTCAACTCCTCCATAAACCATGGGGAGTGTCGGGGCCAATGTGGCAAGAGAGGTCGCATGGGTATCCTACAGTAACCGCAAGCATCATTCTCAGTTGCCCACAAGAAAGGGATCTACTTCAGTAGGGCCTGGGGTGCCGGTGGGGATAAACTGTAAGGCACCTTCTGCAGTACAGAGCACCCAGAGGCCACAACTGAGGAAGCAAATTTGTCTGTATAACAGATCCTAATCCCCTCTAGTTGCAGCCCTACTCAGGTCTACCCACGGGATCCCTCCTGGCATGGCAGTTCAGGTAGCTACTCCTCTGATAGAGTTGGCTGTGTTGCCAAGGGGGTTCTTTGTTGGTGGCAAAGAAGGCAGCATGTTGTATTCACAGGTAATGGTGCGTGGTTGGGAGGCAGGGACCAAAGACTGCAACCCCTAAAAAAGCTATGCATGTATGGGTGCCCAGGTCCAGTGGGATGGAGCCCAGACTGAAGGACTGTCTGTCATAGAAACAAATTGTAACAAAGATCCTCCACCATTATCTCCAAAAAAGTAACTTACAAAGGAAACAACTGCCATAAATTTAGTGCTTACATCGAGAGCGCTTCCGCAATGGGGGGGAGGGCACTGTGGTTCCATTCCATCCCCACCCCACAATTCCAGTTTGCATCGCAACCCTGTGCCACGTTGGAGATGCTCCTGATCTCATCTCAATGCCTGGAAGCTGTGAGAGCTTGGATGGGACAGAGGTAGTTGAACCTGAATCCTGGCAGAACTGAGTTGCTGTTTGTAGGACTCTCAGTCCAGAAGCGTGGTGCAAAGGAGCATTTTGACATGCTGATGCTCAGGGTCTGCTTTTGGCTTTTTTTTTTCACAGCCAAAGCTCAGCCCAGCTCAGCCCAGCAGCCAGGCCAAGCACACCTTGTCAGCAGTGGGAGCAAGAAGATGACGAAGGTCAGCTGGGGTGGTAGAACACAGAGTGACAGGGGTCTTGGAGTGCAAGGTGGTGAGGGTGGCTAGGACTGGGCTGGGGCTTCCTGGGGCGTGGTAAGCAGCCCCAGAGCCGCACGGTTCTGGGGCTGCTTGCCACCCCACAAGGCAGGGGGCAGGGCAGCCAAAAGGGCAGAGATGGGGGAGATAGGTGGCGGGGGAGATGGAGGCAGTCCCTTACCTTTCTAGGGTCAAGGCTGGGAGGGACCAAGCCCGGAATGGCTTGGATTGGGTACTCATTTAACGACCCACAATTCTCGGTTAACAGCAGCAACTGGGACTGCTGTCACCAAGTGATGCAATCATGTGACATCTCACATTATGACCGCATTGCTTAGCAATGGAAATTCCAGTCCCGATTGTGGTCATAAGTTGAGGACTACCTGTAATTATTAGTGCAGTGGTGCCTTGGATTCAAAGAGGAAAAGTTGCTTTGGACTCAAACAGCACAGAAGTACAGAGTATACACATATTAATTGTGGGCAACTCCTTAAAGCAACTTCTTTTGCCAGGATCTCAACAGCTGTGGCATGATCCTGCAAAAGATCTATTTGGTTTAAAGAGTTGCCCGTAGGTACTACACAGTGCGCGGCAGCACTTCAAAGGACCTTCTCCCTTCAAATCCAGAGTGCTGTGCAGCCCTAAAGTTATACTTTGGTTGGTAGAATCTAAAATTGCCTTTCTCTTTTCTTGCACCCACATCACATTGTTGATTCAGTTTTCAATCAATCATTATTGCAGAATCTTTTTCACTAGTATGGTTCACCTCATCAAGTATCCTTTATTCTATACTGTCCATTTGATTTCTGATTACTAAGTAAAGAACTTTGCAAAATAGGGCTGAATCTTCAATGGGGAACCTCTGATGAGCACTCTTAAATAGATGTTCAAGGCAATCTGATATCCACCTAATCATCGTGCTCCCCAGCCCACATCTACCCAGTTTGCTAGTAGAAATGTCAAGTGTACTTTGTTAAATTCATTGCTGAAATCAAAATATATTGTTTTAGGATATGCTCTAGAGTCTCCTCAGGTATTTCTGTTCTATAGTTTCCGGAGTCTTCCTTTCCTTCTTACTGAAGTTAGAGGCACTTGCCTTCCTCTGGTATCTGGGCCCTTCATCCATTCTCCAGGCTTTCTTGAGGCATACAGTTGAGCCAAGCAATGCCCTAGGATGCCATTCATCTCACCCTGCAGACCTAAATTAATTCCAGGTAAAGAAGTATCTCTTCAATGTATTTCTATCAGCTTCCATCCTGCTCCTCTTTTAATGGTGCACAAAATGGGAAATATGTTTTGTTTCAGAACCAAAAACAAACCATCCCATTCCAGATGTTCTGACGAACTGTTCTGGATTGGCCCAAGTTTCACAGAAACAAAACCCAGACAAAACAAACTTGAGATCCTGAATTGATTTCACAAGGTCTGTAGGGTAAGGCTGGAACATGTCATCCCCTCTGTCACCCTCCTTCTCCACATGGACTATGTGCTGGCCCACTTTCTCTCCATCTTCCCAGCCCCCTCCCTTGCACTCTGTGCAGAATACCTCATAAGTCCTCCTGCCAATTTTCTCTCTCCCCATCTGCCAACAATATTTATTTATTTATTTATTTAGTAGACTTATCCCCGCCCACCTCCCCCCAATGGGGGGCCCTGGGCGGTTTACATCAAATTAAAACAAATAAATACATAATTAAAATTTATAAAAAAGATATCCACCAGTTCCATTGTCAAGCAAACCCTTCAACCTTGGTTGTTTTCCATTCCCCTTTTCCCCACTCCCTTCTGCTCAGAACAACCACTTCTGTCCATACCTGGAACAAAATAGACCAAAACATCCAAATATGCCTGGCTTGGCTTGAGCACTGCCCACCCAAATACAGCTGCTCCATATATAGAAGGGTTCAGGCCCAGAACATGTGTATCGCTAGCACTCCTCACAACTACATGGCAAAAAAAATCACCCAGCTCTGAGACAAAATAGGCACTTTGTTGCTATTTGGTACAGGTAATCCTCAACTTACAACCATTCATTCAGCGACCGTTTGAAATTATGATGGTGATGATTTTCCCACACCCATCTAAGTCTGGCAGGTAACACACTAAGAGCAACAGTTTTTTGGTTCCCAACCCCATTAACTGGATCAGGAAGCACCCCAAGCTCTGTTCAAAACAGACTGTAACTCTAAATTCAGAGTGGCTATCTCCACAACCAGCAGCACATACATCTAGTTCTACTTTCAGCTGTCTATGCAACACCTTTCCCCCTTTAACCCAAGGGTTCTGAACAGTGCAGAAACCACTCTGAAGATAAACATTGCTCAACCAGTGCTCCACTTCCCACATCTCCCACTGGCTCCCCAATAGTCACAGAGTGATGCCATTTGTTATTTTGCTTCTACCTCTTTACAGGTAGTCCTCACTTAACGACAGTTCAAAATTATGACAGCCTTGGAAAGAGTGCTTTACGGCCTGGAAAGCACTTCCAGCCATTGTAAAACATTGTGCTGCCCCCACCCACTCCCAGTCACATAGCCACATTTTGGGCACTTGGCAACCAGCTTGCATTTATGACCGGTTACCAAGCGCCCCGTGATCACGTGATCGCCATTTGCAATCTTCTCTGCCAGTTTCCCCATTGGAAGCTGGCAATGGAAGGTGAGCTCCATAATTGCCCAGAGCTCAAAGGTTTCCCCTCCCCTTTCAGCAGTGGTCAGGCACGGACCTCAAATCTTCAGGTGCTCTGTTCATCACTGAGAGAGAGGAGGAGAAAGAGGACAGAGCGAAAGTGCTTGTATGCTGAAGGATTTCAGCTTCGCACAGAGCTGAAATCCTTCAGCAGACAGCTCTTTCGCTCCGTCCAACGACCCAGGAAATTGCTTAACAACCACAACCAGGAATGCCCAGATTGCGGCCACTGAATGAAGCAGACACACAGGTGTCTCACTTAATGACTGCTTCGCTCAATGACCGAGATTCCGGTCCCAGTTGCCATCGTTAGGCGAGGACTACCCGTACATCATCATTTCATTGGTTGACCATTTGTGAAAGATGGTTGGTGTATGACCTGTGTAATTGGTGCACCTATCATTTGAAAGAGCTGCTGCTGAGTCCAAAGCCTGTGCAGTTGATTGCATGACTGGGCTGGGTAATTGGCCTTCCTGTACAGAGAAGCCAGGTAACTTTCCTCACCTGCTCCTGTTCTTTAAAAGATTTCCCCCAGAATTAAGCTAGAAGTCAGATTTCTTAAGGTTTAAAAAAGCACCAGAATGCTTCTTCTTTACCTATCAATTAGAATAATAAGTAAAGAAGTTGATTTTATTGTGTGTGTTTGGCCTTTTTTTTTTTTGGTGCCTTCGAGTCAATGTTGACTCCTGGCAACTGCTTGGACAAGCCCCTGAAGTTTTCTTGGCAAGGTTTCAGAAGTGATTTGCCCTTGCCTCCTTCCTAGGGTTGAGAGAGAGTGACTGGCCCAAGGTCACCCAGCTGGCTTCATGTCTAGTGGAACTAGAACTCCCAGTCTCCCGGTTTCTAGCCTGATCCTTAACCACTACACCAAACTGCCTCTCGTTTGGCCTTCAGAGGCTCCTTATTTTAGATTGTGATTTGACAATCCATTGCAGTATACTATAGTGTTAATTGCTGGTTTTATTCTGCGTCTGAACTGTGTTTAGTTATAGGCTCCTGATGACTGACCAGTGTGAGTACTTGACAACCAACACAGGGAACTCACCTGGAGCCAGCACCTGAGTCTTCTGTCCCTGGAGCCGTTTCTGAATCTGCCTCATCATTTCCAAGTTCTCACGGACACGAGCAATGTCCTGGACTCGGTGCAGGACCTCCAAGACAGACTTTAGAGCCCCTGCAAGTGACAACGTATCACCCAAGAGCACAGTAACTTCCTCTCCTGGCTAGGTAACAGGGAGGAGGAGAAGAGCCACCACCGCAAAATGTGGTCAGGCAAGAATCTGTGGTCTCAGCTGCTGTGATCAAGAGCTGCACAGCTGAAGACTCAACTTCGGGAGCACAGTGCAGGGCTTGCCAAAAGTTAAAATCCTACCTTGAAGTTGATCAAATCCAGAGCTCTCTGGGGGAGTGTACTCCACCAAATCTTGCAGCAAGTGCCTATACCTGCCAGACAGATATCAGAGGCAGAGGAGATTGATTGATTGATTTATACATTCAATTTATTCTCTGCCCATCTCCCCCAATGGGGAACTCTGGGCAGCTCACAAAGTATATAATCCTAATACCATTCTTAACGGTGACTAACAATTATTACAATTACAATTACAAATCTACAGTGATGTATATTACACTGCGTGACCAGCAGTGGTCACTAGGGAGTCACAGCATATCCGGGCTTTTCCTCCTCCGTAGATCTTTCTCGCCGCTCGCATCGATCATCGCTTGTGCCGGTTGCGTTCGGAGTTCGGTCCAGCACCGGTATTTTGCTCCCCCGTGCAGCACTGCTGGCTCCTCCCACCAAGATGGGAGTCCCCATTTATCTACTCCCAGATGGAATTGCTTTCGAACTGCTGGGTGGGCAGAAGCTGGGACGAGTGACGGGAGCTCACCCCGTCCCACAGAGCCGGGCCCGGACCGCTGGAGCACCGACCATTTCTGACCGGCAAACTCCAGCATCATTAAGCCCTGTGCCACCGTGAGACACAAGCAATTACCTCTCAATTGCCTATCAAAGATCCCAGCCTGCCCCACCCGCATCTCCAGCTCCATCCCACCCTGCAAACCCAGCAGAAGACCGCAGTGAGACTTCTTCTGCCATGGCCCCCAGCATCTTCTCTCTGGAGTTCGGAGAGGAGTGGTGGGTCAGCATCCCCTTGCAGGAGGGCTTCCCTCCTGGAGAAGAGAGACTCAGCTCTGGGGAAAGAGCTTCTGCCACTTACTGATGGAGCCTTTGCAGGGGTAGCGGCAGCAGCTCTTCCAGCCGGTGACCTTTAAGCTCTGGACGGGATTCCTGAAGCTTCTTGAAGCGGGAAAACACTCTGTTCTTCCTTACCAGTTTCTGCAGATGCAGCCCAGCGATGGGGAGAAGCAGGAAAGGGTGACCGGCCAGCAAGTTCTGAGAACAGATCCCCAACCCCATCTCCATACCAAGGTCTTGGGCAAAAAGCAACCCAAGGATGCTCCTGACTGCCAAGAGCAGATTGCTGGAGGAACAAAGGGGGGGGGGGGGGGGGGGGGG